GAGAGAGAGAGAGAGAGAGAGAGAGAGAATCCCAAGCAGGCTCTGAGCTCTCAGTGCAGAGCCTGATGCCAAGCTTGATCTCACAAACCATGAGATCGTGACCAGAACTGAATTCAAGGGTCAGATGTTTAACCGACTGAGCCACCCAGGCACCCTGGCATATTGATTATTTTAAATAAAAATTACTTAAGAAACAGCCAATACTGGGGCACCTGGGTGGCTCAGTCGGTTAAGCGTCCCGACTTTGGCTCAGGTCATGATCTCGCAGTCCGTGAGTTCGAGCCCCACGTTGGGCTCTGTGCTGACAGCTCAGAGCCTGGAGCCTGTTTCGGATTCTGTGTCTCCCTCTCTCTCTGACTCTCCCCCGTTCATGCTCTCTCTCTCTCTCTCTTTCTGTCTCAAAAATAAATGTTAAAAATAATAATAATAAAAAAAGAAACAGCCAATACAAAAAGAACACCCCGAGCCCCCTTTGTCTCCAAAAAAGTAAGAAATAAATCGTGAAAGTTACCCTCCCTGTACCAGGAAGTAAAGAGACATCCTCCATAGAGCAGAGAAGGCTGTGTAAACACCCCTTGTCACCCTTTCTTAATTTACTACCCCAGCCCAAATTCTGTTTAGAATTCCTTCTGAATCGAAGCTCCCAAACACAAGTTTTCTTTGCCCTGCCAATTCCTCAGAGATGCCTTGGTTATTTCTTTTTTTTTTTTTTTTTCAACGTTTATTTATTTTTGGGACAGAGAGAGACAGAGCATGAACGGGGGAGGGGCAGAGAGAGAGGGAGACACAGAATCGGAAACAGGCTCCAGGCTCTGAGCCATAGGCCCAGAGCCCGACGCGGGGCTCGAACTCACGGACCGCGAGATCGTGACCTGGCTGAAGTCGGACGTTTAACCGACTGCGCCACCCAGGCGCCCCGCCTTGGTTATTTCTTGAGGTGTCACTGTCATTATTTGGCCACTGTGTTCACGCAATAAAACTGTTTTTTCTCCTGTCAAACTGTCTCATGTCAATTTAATTCCTAAACCAGCTAGAAGACCTTGAAGGACGGAAGGAAAAAATCTTCCTCCCTTACACTGGCCTGGATCTCTTTTGACAATAAATACAATTTTATTTTTTCCAAAGCAAGAGATCAGGATGATATTTTTATTTTTATTTTTATTTTTTTAAATTTTTTTTTTCAACGTTTATTTATTTTTGGGACAGAGAGAGACAGAGCATGAACGGGGGAGGGGCAGAGAGAGAGGGAGACACAGAATCGGAAACAGGCTCCAGGCTCTGAGCCATCAGCCCACAGCCCGACGCGGGGCTCGAACTCACGGACCGCGAGATCGTGACCTGGTTGAAGTCGGACGCTTAACCGACTGCGCCACCCAGGCGCCCCCAGGATGATATTTTTAGGGAAAAAAAGGCAGCACGGGGGGAGAGGGAGCAGCAGGGGGAAAGGTGGAAACTGACCTGAGTTCATGCCAGGAGCCCAGCACAGGGGACGGCTGAGCTTGTATAGGGGACATGCTACCTCAGATGCGCGAGTGGAGGACCACCGAGGATGCATACTTCGCTGTGGCCTCCTAAGCCAGCAAAATGCAAGAGTTCTCGGTGCACTAAGCCCTGGGCTGGGGGGTCTACACTTGCACTCCGATGGGGCGTCATTACTAAAAATCCGGAGTACTTGAACTTTCTCATCGGGCACATTGGATTTCCTGTAGAGTGCATCTTACCCAGAATGTTCTACAAATCCGGCCCCAACATCCGACTCTCGGCACCCGGGAAACATGGTGGGCTCTGCTTTCTGTGTCCTTACAGAAACTCGGTTCATCATTTCACTTTACTTATTAGCCTGGCGTGTGTGCAGGTTGCCAAATATAGAGGGCTGGACCATGAGACTTTCTCAAAACGTTTCCCAAAGGGCTCCTGTAGGTAGTGAGAAGTCTCGAACCCCCATCTCTCCCCGTCCCTGATTTGCCCCCCAAATCAGGTCGCATAATCCGGTACCATCCCGTCCTCAGACCACTCTGCTCAAGAGGGGCGTGGTAAACCGAACTTTCAATTAGAGACCCGATTGTGCACAAACCCAAGCTCCCGCCTTGCCCCACACAGCCCTTATTTTTTGGCCACGCCCCAGACACTTGCGTGTCGAAGCAAGTCCCACCCACCTCAGTTGGCGGAAAGGGAAAGCCAATAGCAATCGTCTAAAGGGGATCACGTACGCGTCGAACTTGCGCCAAACCTTTGAACTGGTACGAGGCGCCAAAAGAGGCCAGCTCTGGTCTCGATCACCACAGGGTGGGTGGAGGCGGTGGCCGTCCACCCCACCACAGCCATGGAGCCTCTGCCCAGCGGCGACTACTGTGACCTGGGTGCATACTGTGACCCCGACTACTACTGGCTGGGGATGCAAGAAGTGGAAATCAGATCTGAACCTGTGCAGGACGCGGCCCCAGACGCCAAAGAAGACGGCCACATTGATGACGGCAGTCTAGTCCCCGTGGGCAACAATAACCCCCAGGGCGGTGTCAGCTATGCCAACTCTGGAGGCGACATCAACCGTGAAGGCGTGGCGAACCGTGACGGCGAAGGGAACCACGAGGCCAGCGGTGTCGTCCAGGCGCTGGGGCAGCAGCACGCTGAAGGGCCACCCCAAGTGGCAGCCGCTGGGGCTCGTCAGCCCCACGGCAGGCAGCAGGGAGCCCCGCGCTCTAAGTTCACGGCATTTCAGGTGCAGGAGCTGGAAAGCGTTTTCCAGCGCACTCAATACCCTGACGTGGCCACAAGGTAAGTGGCTTGCTCCGGCAAGTGCCCTTCGCCTCACTGCCAGGCATCTTCGTTTCCCCTGCC